AACAGTTTTTGCCGTCTTCCTGAGCACCACTTCTCCAAGCTTCCAGTTGGACACCGGACAAGCATAATGTAATTTCTAGCCATATAATCACATTCCTCCAGACTACATGACCCACCATTCATAGCACCAGTGCACATACATGCCTAGTCATTCATAAAAAGTGGCCAATGTGAGGGCGCCAACAAGCAGAGACCGCCTTAGAGGAAACGCATGCAAGACACGCCTCTGCTCATTGAAGGCAAGTGATCTACAGCGGCTCCCAAGGCTGCCCTTGAAGGAAGGATAGAGGCATGTCTTCTGTGTGTAATCAGCTCAGGCTGCACACAGAGCATTTTCCTTTCCCAGGGAGCATGCATGAAAGGGGGGCTATGGGGGGGGGGGGAGCGTTTTTAGGATCCTGCAAGCCACGGAGCAACCCTTGAACCAGAAGCAATAAGGGGACCAGTTGTAAAGGAACGGCAATGTTTCAAATGCAAAGAAGTGGCGTATGTTAGCGTTACCCTGAGAATTAGGGTTTATTATGTCTTTAAGGCCTGGTATCTGCCTGTGCTGTCTAGGTAGTGGTGCCAGGAACCCAAAACTAGCTGAACAGAATTTCAAATCTATGGCAGGTAAAGCGGCTCACATATGTATTTCAGCTTTGTATTTAGCTGCTTGCCTGAAGTGTATCGTTAGTATAGCAGCAGCTTTCATCATTGTGCTCGAAAGGTAAAATGTGAAGGCTGCAGCACATATTCTGAGTTAATAAAAGCTCAACTGAAGATCCCAGATTTATGCAGTCAGACTTTGTACTAAGAACCTTCTCTTTGCTTTTACAGCAGCTGTGAACGTGCAATCCGGTAGGCACAGGACTTAGACACAATGCACTCAGTAATGTAATAGACGTGGTAAGACACGCCCCCTTCACTGCAGGATCGACACGGGTACTGAGGGGTGTGGCTGCTACTCAGCTCTGCCAGCACAGGAGGGGGAGATCAGGAAGCAGCATTTTTACTAAACAATTAAGTTATTAAAGCAACAAATACAATGCAGGGCTAAAGGACTAGAAAGGGATACAGAGATGTCTTTACTTGGGCTGCAATCTTTCATGATGAAAAGCCAGCTACTTGAATAATTGGCTTTGTGAATAGGTTCATGTACAAAAGACGTGTTCTCGCATATTGGAAGGTTATTTGTCAATAGATTCTGTAAATTTGGGAGGTTTATGGCACATTTGCAAACTTCTTTTTTTAAATCCATTGAAGCAGAATGTCAATAACCTCTGTTGTATCGGCAGAAAAGTCGCTGCGTCTGTGGCCATCAAAATACAATCTGTACTACCAACAAAGGGTTAAAAGAACTGATATGAGTCTGTAGCTGTGCATGTTGTTAGGTAACTGACCCGGGGTAACTAAGTCTGCGTGTGCTAGCGAGGGGTAGTCCGACTTCTTTGCTTCTACACTGCTGTGGCCATATTGGCAAGGTCTGTACCCACTGAAGGCTTTCTTTTTTGTTTTCTCTAAACAGTGTACTGAAATAGGTAAGTGCACACACCTGGATGCTCCTTTAGCCTTTCTTTCCATTCTAGTTTGCCGTATAATGTCATTTCTCGAACATTTCTATTCCTGGGAAATCTGACACACCGCTGTATTGTTCTGCCAAGAAATGTATTCCGCTTTTGTTTTCCAAAGACAGTCTATGAAGGATGGTGTTGGTCTCCACATTTTTTCCACACGTAGGCCTTGGAGTACCCAACGTTGGAGGAATAGATTCTGTTGGCTTGTACTGGCCCTCTGGCAACGTGGCCTTTTTCCTTTTTGAAGAGTCATTCCAGCCGAAAACTGATTTCCCCAAATCATCTTCCAGAACAGCGACCAGAGAGATGATTGGTTCCTCCTTTACACATACTGAACATTGAAGAACCCCTTCCACCTACCACCTCCCTCGGTTTAGATTGTGCTCCTTACCGTCCAGGAGCAGCTTATCATTTGTTGTTTTGTCATCTTGACCGGATGGCCGTTGGGTCAGAAGTCTCCCTCTTGATGCAGATCTGCTTGGCTTGGCGTTTATACCCATTTCACCCTTTTTCCAGGATCTTGACCACTTTTTTTGTGGCGTGCTTTGACTCCTGAAGCCCAAGTGGCCTGCGGTGTGTTCCTGGCCCCTAAAGGGGGCCAGAACCTACCAGGAACCCATGGATAACCCTACCCACCATACTCTTCTTGTATCTGAAATCATGCTTTTCTATGGACTGACTTTTTTAAACTTGCTATGTCTGTTGCCTTGAGATATAGCTGCGCTTGCTGAATAGGATTCCACCTGGAGAGCAGCCTTGTGCGATATCTCCGGGTTACAGAGAGAAACTCCTTCTGTGATAACAGGTGACATAGTCAATGTTGCAGGAGAGCTTGTACAAGCCATACACCTAAATCATAGACGAGCCTCTGTGTTGGATCTAGAACACAGCACGGAGGAGGAGATCTGTTGCTGATTTTGGGATTCACATTGTGCTACTTAAAGTATATATAAAGCTAGGGGGTCGATAGAGGAAAGCTGGCCATATTCAGATCAAATATCAGCTATTTCCTACTGAATCGGACAAAATTTGATTTGTGGATGGCCTTGACTTTGTCAAAGGAGCCGGGTGGAAAATTGTGAACCAAACAGTGACTAGCTGCAGTCTTGGATATTCTGACAACCACGGGTGTGAGCTGTCAGAATACAGAATATGGCAGAGAGAGTCCTCTATCTATCCTCTAGCTTGGACGGGGGAATCAATCATCTTTTTGTCCCATTCAGTGATTAATCTTTATTTCCTGTCCATTAGGCCAACAGGGATCTAGAGGAGGGAAAATCCCCTCTGAGGACCCACTCAAACTTAAAGGAGAACTATGAGGCGAGTGATTTTCCCTCAACCTCATAGTTCGAGCCGACGTGTGACAATGAAACGGTCACACGCCGGCTCTACAGATCGGGAAGTGAGTGAACACATACCGTCGCTCGCTCTCTTTCCGATCATCTCCCTGACAGTCACGGCTCTCTGCAGGGATTCCCCCCTCTCCGATCCTCCAGCGCTGAGTGGAGGAACGGACGGCAGAGGGGGCGGGCACAGCTGGCTCTGCCTCCAGATAGGCAGAGCCAGCTGTCACTCACACAGCTGGGTGGATCTCAACAGTATTGCGGTGCTCTCAGTATATAGTGAGCAATAGCCAGCTATATACTAAGCTTTGGGTCACGGTAGGATGTTAGTATATGTCCTCCCGTCACCCTTAAGAGAACTATGGGGAAAAAAAAGGTTACCCCATAGTTCTCTTTTAAGCTGTCCTATGCTGCGTGTTATGCACCTTGCAGTAATGCAGCCATTACTGAGTTCTTCCTGGACTACAGCACACCTCCCTCTCTCCTCGTCTCCATAAAGGTGTTCTCGTGCATCAGTTTTTCTTCTTTTTTTTTTCTTTTGCTGGTAAAGGAAAGTCTGAGAGCACCAGACCGAGGAACTAAGAGTCCAAATATTTGTAACACTGGTGTTAAAGTGACACTAAACTCAGGAGTGTAATCCTAAAAAATACATTCAAGTATCTTAATTTTTAACAACATACGGGGGAATTTATCAAAACTGGTGCAGAAAGAAACTTGAGCAGTCGCCCATGGCAACCAATCAACATCTCTCTTCAGTTTGTTCACTTAAGATTTGGAAATGAAAAAGAGAAGCTGATTGGTCGCCGTGCACAGCTGCTCCAGTTTTGATAAATTTCACTCAATGTATCTTATGTGTGTATCACTCGGCTGTAGATCCTTCAATCATCTCTGAATTGGTGCTGACGCTGTCCTTACTCCTGGAGGGGGGCTACTTTTGTTCCCCATGGTCCCTGTGTGTGTTGTAAAGTAGTCACCGCTCCAAGCTCGCTCCCGGGATGGACTACAATCTCAAAACAAATGAGTAAACTTAGCATGAGATTGTAGTCCATCCTGGGAGTGAGCTTGGAGCGGTGACTACTTTACAACACACACAGGGAACATGGGGAACAAAAGTAGCCCCCCTCCAGAAAGGACAGTGTCAGCACCAATTCAGAGATGATCATGATAAAAACAAATCACAATCATTTATTCCATCTGCATACAAATAAAATATGACCAAATATGATAATCTGAGTAACATATAAAAACCACTAAATTGTAGAATACAAACTGATAAAATCCACCATATAGTGACTGTATACCATCTAACATATAGAAAACAGATCACTTTAGGAAAAGACAACTGAAATAAAATAATAAACTCAATCAAATTTTTTTTTTTAAATAATAAAATAAAAAATATCATTAAAACATTCATAAAAATTATTTAAAATAATGTATATCTCTCCCATGTAAAAAAAACAAAACGTATAACTGATATAAAATGTATAACAATCTATGGCAAAACCCTCTTTGTTATGCTGGGCACACACCTTACAACCATCGCAAGGCTTTTGTCTAGCGATGGTTGTAAGGTACTTAAAAAAAAACGTACGATCTGCCTATCTTGCATAGGCAGATCGTACTTGCGATGATCGCAAGCCATGCCCCCTGAGGGGCGGGCTTCCGATGACCACAATGCCGAACAGCCAGTGTGCGCTTGCGCACACCGGCCCGTCCGGCTTTTATCTTACGAACATGCTACACACCTGCCGAACATCGTACAATGCTCGGCGGGTTTTCGAACATGTTTGTAAGTTTAAAGTCGTGCGACCTTACAGCAGTAGAGGTCGCACGGCTTCCACACACCTTACGATAATCATACGATTGCGGGATTTCCTGCGATTATCGTACGATTATCGCAAGGTGTGTGTGGACCTTTATCCGTGATTTCTGTATAAGTGAATAGAGTTACTAAATGCATCTCTATGAAAACGTATTTGTTACAGTAATCATTGTTCTGCGGGCTTCGGAATAACTGGAAGCGAATGTTGCCCATGTACTGTATATAAGTTAGACTGGTAAAATTAGAAGACAAAAGTAACTGTTCTGAATTGTATCAGTTTTTTTTCTTTTTATCTTTTGGACTCTTAGGCCCCTTTCACACGGGTGGTCCGATCGGGTCCACCTGTCAGTTTTTCATGCGGACCCGATTGGATGCCCAATGCTAGTCTACGGGCAGCCGTATGTAAACAGACAGGCATCCATTTACACCGGGTTACCCCCCGCAACCCCCCGACACCGGTAATCTGATTTAAAGGGACACATGTCGGATCGCATCCGATTCCCCATAGACCGACATGCGGTCCGGTAACTTGGACTAGCACGGATGTCACAGCAGTAACATCTGTTCCATACTGCTCTGATCAGGAGAGGATCCGTGCACGCATCCCCCTCCTGATCATCCCTTATGAAAGGGGCCTTAGTTCCTTGGTCTGGTACTATCTCCGACTTCCCTGGGGTGAGAGCAGCCTCACCCCAGCCATTGAATGTGACTGACCTCTACTGAGAGATCACCGCTTCCTCACAGAGGGCAAGGGTCCTCCACTGTAGCATGCTGGCAGGGGCAAGACTTTTCTACTCAAAAATGAACTGTAGGCCTTCAAACATAATGCATCTAGAACAGGGGTAAGCCAACTCTGGTCCTCCAGCTCAGGTGAAACTACAAATCCCAATATGCATCTGTCTCTGGGAGTCACACCTGTGGCTGTCAGTCTTGCAATCCTTATTGGGATTTGTAGTTGCTGCACATCTGAAGTGCCGAGGTCGCCTACCCCTGACCTAGACTGTATTTAGATGATTTGAACTGAAGTCAGTTGGGTTTTATAGTCTGTTGCAATCATTTGTACTCCACGCACAATCCGATAAGCGACCATGTCTAATGGCGTCCTTCTGATGTCTTTGGGTACCTTCACAAGTCTGTCACAAAACAAGACACCCGGCGCAGTTACAATGTGCAAGCTTTTCAGAATTTTGAGGATCGGTCTCTGGGACGCTATAACAGCACATAGGGTCTGCTGTACGACAGCACCTCTTCTTCTAGAACATATTATCCATGTAACGTTCCTCTGTCTACACGTCTGCTTTGTTTTTCGGTGTTTGGCTAACCTCTTGCGCGGCAGGGAGGAGAATGTCGGTTTTATAGAGGGAAATAACTACTACCGATCACCGATGTCAGTACAGCGTGTTCAGTCAATGCTTTCCTCACTGTCCGCTCTCCTCTACACACACACACACCATAGCTGGTCTTTGAAGCTTCTTTGTGTATTCATTACTCTGATTCTCTGTTCGTTAGCAAACTACTAACCGTTTTATTTTTCTGTTTCTTGTTTTTCTTTCTCTCTTTTCTTCTTCTTACAGATGAAAATTTTATTCTCAAGCATGACCGCGCATTCCTCTTGTCCATGGCAAACCGTGGAAAGCACACAAACGGCTCCCAGTTTTTCATGTAAGTTTGTGATCCATCTGTGCGTCCTTCATTTTGACAAACGGAATCCCAAAATACTGGACTGGGATGTCATTATTAAACGGAGGCTGGCTTAGACTTGGGTCGATAGATCCTCTCTGATCCTTCGAGGTCCCAGAACAGTGACATGTCAACACCTAGAGGTCCCAAAATGTCAGGGGTGTCACTGGCCCAAGACATGGAGTGGAACCCACTGGCAGGAAACCGACCGTATGAGATCCGCAACTAGGTACAAAGGGGGCAATTCCAAAGAGCGTAGTCAAGGTTCAGTCCGGGTCGAGGCAGGTGGCTAGGATCAAGAGTGGGAGGACAGGCCAAGGGGTCAATAACCAGGAGTTCAGATGAAGGGTCAGGAAGCTGCAGCAGTATCAGATTCAAGAGGCTAGGTAATTGCACCATAAGGCAGAATAACTCAGCAACAAGCCAAGGCTCTGCCTGGAATATATACCCAGTGGGAACTGGGACCGCCCCCGTTCGCTCATACAACCAGGAGCCAATGGCAGGAGGTAAAAACGGACAGTGTATGTCAGGAACCTCCTCCAGCTAGACCAATACCCGACAACATTGATGCCGCGGGTGGATTGCGCGCGCCTCCATGCATGCGGGCGCAGCCTGTCTGCCGCACACATCACGCATGCGCACCCGCAACCCTGTCAGCAGGAGTCCTGCCAAGCCGAGGGAGACCCTGTGCACTACACTGTACCTGGCAGCCCCTGGGTGAGGTAGTACCCTTGGTTCCCGGACACAAAATAAGGACACAGTGACATTTGAAGGCCCAAGAACAATGAAACTTTGACGTCTATGTTCATGGTCATTGACTGACTGACACTTGAGAGGCCCAGAACAGATTTACAACATTAGAATGATAGAATAATTGCATACTTCCACTTGCAGGTTCCAAAAATGCTGACACGAGTTATCAGAACAATGATGGACGTTGGGGGTCTCATAGCAATGATAGGCAGATGCTTAGGAATCCCAGAATAATGACACGTGAACTCCCGAGCCCTTTAGAACAATGACACTGGCTCGTGGAGTTCTAGAAAAATGACACAGACTCCTGGGGCCCCAGAACAATGACACTGGCTCGTGGAGTTCTAGAAAAATGACACAGACTCCTGGGGCCCCAGAACAATGACACTGGCTCGTGGAGTTCTAGAGAAATGACACAGACTCCTGGGGCCCCAGAACAATAACATTGACTGGGCCCTGATGCAAGCAGTGGGTCAGATCTTAGGAGGAGTTGTGTAACATCTAACAATGCCTTGATGGGTGGATGTAATTCTTGAGGAGTGGGCGTTCATAGACTGCATTTTAATGCTGACCACCCTAGGTAACGCCCACATCTATCAATATTATACATTTGTAAGGCTGGCCATACACACTGAGATTTTCACTCAGTGTGTCCCCCTGTCGGCACCCTTCCTTCCAGCATCCTTCATTTAGAAAATCAAAGGAGCCGGATGGAAAATCTTCAAGTTTACAGTGACGGCAGCCAATCAGCTGCTGTCACTGTCTGAGTATTCTGACAGCAGCACACCCACCATTGTCATATAAAGCTCACAGCAGGAGGTTCGTCAATCCCCGCTGTTTGCTGTGAATGGAGAAATCTGTTACCCTTTTTTTTTTTTCTTTCAGCAATGCTGTGTGCTCAACTTAACTCTGCCTTGTACCTCATGCCTTGTGTAATTTATGATCTTTCTTCTTCTCATTCTATTACAAAATTAAGAACAACAAAACCGGCAGCGCATCTCGATGGGTACGTTCATCTTATTTTCTTTACTCTCTATGAATTTTTAACTTGCATTATTTTGAAGGGACTCTACTCATACAGAAGCAGACTACAAAAGGCAATTACTCTTCCCTCCCCAACAGGCGGCAACTCCAATCTTTACTCTCTTGTGAAACTCCATTCACACATGAGCGATTTTCCGTGCGTATTCGGCCATTTTAATGCGTGCGGAACCGCGCTAAACATAACCAATGCATCGCCATGTGCATTGTGCAGCCGCACTGTACGAAAACCGCTCCTCCTGCAAGATAGTGCAAGTGAGATTTTACGGGCAGATTCCGCATGTTCGGCTATAGTAATAGCCGCAAACGTGCTGAATCCGCGCGTATGCTAACATTCACGCAGGAAAACGCTACCGCTATGTGTGAATGGAGCCTTAGCTTAAAGGAGAACTATGAGGGGGGTGCTTTTCACTCACCTCATAGTTCTAGCCGACCTGTGACAATGAGACTGTCACAGGTCGGCTCAGTAGATCGGGAGGTGAGCGAACACATACCGGCGTTTGCTCACTTCTCGATCCTGTCACGGCTCTCTGCCGTGTCAGGGGAGGGGCTGGATTCCCCCCCTCCCCGCTCCGATTCTCCAGCGCTGACTGGCGGAACGGACGGGGGAGGGGGCGGGTAAAGCTGGCTCTGCCTCTAGATAGGCAGAGCCAGCTGTCAACTCACGCAGCTGGGTGGATCCAGACATAATTGTCGGGATCCACTTCGGTTGCGGCGTCTCTGTATACCGCGAGCTGCAGCTCGCGGTATACTGAGCTTTGGGTCACGGGAGAACGCTAGTTTACGTTCTCCCGCGACACTCAGGAGAACTATGGGGAAAAGCCCTGACCCCATAGTTCTCCTTTAAGTCAAACTCCAATAATACTTATTGATCAGTTACAGCAATTTTAAAGAAGAATTCCAGGAATTATTTTTTGTTATTATTAACCCTTGCAGTGAGGCTACCCACGTACTGCAAGGGTTAAGTGCTTGTTTGTGTCTAGGTGCTAGAAAAAACCCAGATATACTCAGCCGAAGCTCCGAGCTGTCCAGCTGGGACAGTGCTCCCCGTCTCCTATTCTGCAGCACATTGGAATGTTCCTTTGCGTCCTCACGTCTATACACAGTGTGTACAGGTGATGGGTTACTGGACCTTAGACCATTGCAGAGGACGGGGAGAGACATTCCAGGGACTGGTCTAAGAACAAGCTGGCTCAGAGCTTTGGGTGAGTATTTGTTTTTTTTAAACTAGACACAAGTGAGCAGCTAAAAGAGAAATATAGGGTAACCTTTTTATCCCATAGTTCTCTTAAGGGTCACGGGAGGACATATACTGACCTCCTCCCGTGACCCAAAACTCAGTATATAGTGAGCTACATACTGAGAGCGCCGCAGTCGGGACGGCAGTACTATCGAGATCCATCCAGCTAGCTGATTGACAGCTGACTCTGCCTATCTAGAGGCAGCGCCAGCTGTGCCCGCCCCGTCCATTCCTCCACTCAGCACTGGAGGATCGGAGTGGGGGAATCCCTGCGGGGAGCAGTGACTGACAGTAACAGCTCTCTGCAAGGAGATGATCGGAAAGTGAGCGAGCGGCAGTATGTTTTTTGCTCACTTCCCGATCTATAGAGCTGACGTGTGACAGTTTCAATGTCACACGTCGGCTCTTAACTATGAGGTTGAGTGAAAATGACTCACCTCGTACTTCTCCTTTAACCCTTGCAGTGCGGGGGCAACCCCACTGCAAAGGTTAATGAAAAAAAAAAATTCCTGGAGTTCTTTAATAATTAGCACCATTGCCAGCACCCCCGGCAGTGTTATATGATTCGTCCAAACCTCCTGTAACTCATTTTCGCTGACCGCTTGGTTAGCATGTAAATGTGGAGAAATTATAGACCTGAAATGTATAGAGAAATTCATGTTCTGGATATTATGATTACAAGTATTAACCCCGTACAGTTACCACAATGCAATAGTTTTCACTGTCGCAATCATTGTCTAAACATGTACAACCATCACCAGTTAACAGCATGTTGTATTTGTCCTGCGTTTTGCAGTGTCCATGTGGTGTTCGGACTTGTCATTTCTGGTTTTGAGGTTATCGAACAGATAGAGAACCAGAAGAGCGACGCAGCCAGCCGGCCGTATGCTGACGTGCGAGTTGTGGACTGCGGCTTGGTAGGATCTAAAGCCACCAAAGATGGTGAGCGCTTTCTGGATAAGCTGTAAAATCCATTATAGATTGTATAAGTACTCTATAGAAATGGGGGGGGGGGATTTATCAAAGCTGGAGCAAACAGAATCTGGAGCAGTTGCCCATGGCAACCAATCAGCATCTCTCTACAGTTTGCCTAGGTAAGATTTGAAAATGCGACACAGAAGCTGATTGGCTGCAGTGCAAATCTGCTCTACATTTTGTCTGCTCCAGTTTTGATAAATTCCCCCCAAGGTTGTTTTTCCAGGGGCTGTAGTTGTATGGGAGGTTGTTGTCTTATGGGAGCTCCTTCTGAGGTCTTGTAGACAAGGGCACCTGAGTGCTGTCCATACACACAGACATTTTCAGGTGATGTCAGCCAGTGTTCAGAAAATTTGTATACAGACATGACAACAGTGTTATAAAGCAAGGAAAGTGGTGCGCTCCGTTTCTTCAAGTATATTTGTGATTGAAAGCCGGTTGAAATTGTAAGAAAGTTGACTTTAAAGGAGAACTATGGGGTCAGGGCTTTTCCCCATAGTTCTCAGGGTAATGGGAGGACACAAACTAGCGTCCTCCCGTCACCCTAGGCTCAGTATACCGCGAGATGTAGCTCCCTATATACTGAGACGCCGCAGCTGAAGCGGATCCCGACAATTGTGCCGGGATCCGCCCAGCTGCGTGAGTGACAGCTGGCTCTGCCTATCTAGAGGCAGAGCCAGCTGTACCCGCCCCCTCCCCCGTCCGTTCCGCCAGTCAGCGCTGGCGGATCGGAGCCGTGACAGGATCGCAAGGTGAGGGGACCCGGGATGTGTTCGCTCACCTCCCGATCTACTGAGCCGACCTGTGACAGTCTCATTGTCGCAGGTCGGCTAGAACTATGAGGTGAGTGAAAAGCACCCACCTCATACTTCTTTAAGGGCTCGTTCACACCAGATACAATGGCATCTATTTTTTAATGGTCAATGGATGCCGATGCAAGGACATCTGGAAATGAATGGGAGCAGTTCACTCCAGTGCATTGCTTTGCTGTTCACTGCCCTGCTCTGAAATAAAAAGTAGAGCAGTCAGCACGTATCTAACACATGTCACTGTAATGGGCATCAACACTAGACAGAACCAATCCCTTATATAGCTTTGTGTAAAAATTTAAAAAACAGTAGGTTCCAAGTACCATTCGCACTCCTACGGTCTTACAGCATAAAAGTATCTGTGGTGCTCAAGGTGACCGCACGGATGGCGTCGTGCAAACACAAGCAGCAAATACAAGGATTTCACCGGCACACACTTGGAAATTCAAATATCATAGCACCATATGACATGATGTGACATTTTCACTAAATAAATATATCAATGCAATATTGATATTTGTCCAAGTGTGTGCCGTTGAAATCCTTGTATTTACTGCACTTGCATTGAGTCATGTCCAATGTACACATTTCGGTGTGAATGCACCCTTAAATTGTATGACATTGCAGTGAGCGCACCTTTCCCCATGCTTTGTCCCTTTAAACCAGGGGTAGCCAAACTCTGGCCCTCCAGCTGTGGTGGAACTACAAATCCTATGAGGCATTGCAAGATTCTCACAGCCACAGACATGACTCCCGGAGAGATGCATCATGGGATTTGTAGTTTCACCACAGCTGGAGGGCCGGAGTTTGGCTACCCCTGCTTTAAACCCTTCCTGTCAGCTGGATGCATATATCTGGCAGCACCAAAGTGGGCTTTGTTCTGTGCTGCCACATCTTTGCGTATGGCCGGTGGAGGTCAATCGCGTGACCCCCGGCACTGTCCCCACACTGTTACCAACAGCTCCTGGTCACACCGTGACAATCAGGGGCCAGTGAGATGGTCTCCCGATCATGTGATCACTGTGACAGTTCTCATGACCATCTCATGAAGAGTAGATATACATAGCAAGGCCTTATTAAACGCTTGCATCATCGACCAGCAGTTAAGCCAGAGTGCTCTACAGAAGGGTTACCTGTAGGGATGCACCGATACTAGTATCGGTGCCGATGCCGAGTATTTGGGCGAGTACTCATACTCGCCTAAATGCTCCGATGCCTAGCCCAATACGTCCGGTATCAGGAAGCCAGGCAGCGCGTCATTACATGCTGCCCACCTCCCTAATTGGCCGGGAAGCCGGCTGCATGCTTCCTCGTCACTTGTAACGAAAGAGCGTGGAGTCGGCTTCCCGACCAATCAGGAAGCCGGGCAGTGTGTAATGACGTGCTGCCCGGCTTCCTGATTGGTCGAGAAGCCAATCAGGAAGCTGGGCGCCTTGTAATGACGCAGTGTCTGGCTTTCTGTTTGGCCAGAAAGCTAGCTCCATGCTTTCTCGTCACATAGTGACGAAAAGCATGGGGTCGGCTTCCCTGCTAATCGGGAAGCCGAGTGGCTAGTCATTACACGCCGCCTGGCTTCCTGATTAGCCGAGAAGCCAGCTTCTAATATCGATTTTTGGTATCGGCGAATACAGAAAGAAAAAAATATCGGTACACGTAGTCGATCCCGAAATACCGGTATCGGTGCATCCCTAGTTACCTGAGACATAACCCAGCTAGTATCCAGCACTAGGTTTCTTCTCTCGCTGTGTCCCTCAATGGACTCAGAATAAGAATGTGCTCCGACACGACTTACAAGCTCATGTTTTCTCTTTTTAAAGTGCCAGAAAAAGTCAAGCAAGCCACCTTTGCATCTGGAGAATCAGATTCCAGTTCAAAGTCCTCTTCGTCATCATCATCCTCAGAGTCTTCCTCTTCTGATAGCGAAGAAGAAGCTGAGAAAAACAGGAGGAGGAAGCGCAAGCGGAAGGCCAAAGTAAAGCCCTCAAAGAAAAGACGCAAGGAGACTCGACAGGATGTCAAGGAGGACCGTGTCGCCACTCAGTGCAGGTACGATGGGCTCCGGACATTTCCTGATGGATCTTCTGCCTTCTCGGATCTGATCATTATCTTCCCTCATTCATTGTTGTCATAACACTTCCCCCATTTACATTGAAGACATCTCCTGGGGTTCACTGTGATGCTGGAACACTCTCTGCTGTTCTTCTTTATTAAACCTTGTTTTATCCCCCCCTTATCCCTTACTACACCCTTCTATATCCCTTATTAACCCTTGTTATATCCCTCCTTATCCCTTATTCACCGTTATATACGGTATCCACCTTATTACCCCCCTGTTTTATCCCTTATACACCCTTATATATTCACCCCCATCCCTTATTACCCCTTGTTTTATCCCGCCTTATCCCTTATACACCGCTATATATCCCCCATCCCTTATTACCCCTTGTTATATCCCTCCTTATCCCTTATACACCATTATATATCCACCCCCATCCCTTATTACCCCCTGTTCTATCCTGCCTTATCCCTTATACACCCTTATATATTCACACCCATCCCTTATTACCCCTTGTTATATCCATCCTTATACACCCTTATATATCCACCCCCATCTCTTATTACCCCCTATTTTATCCCTTATACACCCTTATATATTCACCCCCATCCCTTATTACCCCTTGTTATATCCCTCCTTATCCCTTATATCCACCCCCATCCCTTATTACCCCTCCTTATCCCTTACTTCACCCTTCTATATCCCCCATCCCTTATTACCCCTTGTTATATCCCGTATTATCCCCTGCTAGGTCTGCCCCACCTTATCCCTTATTACCCCCTGTTATAACCCCATTTTATTCTGTCCTCGCTAATTTACAGTTTGCAGTTGTGATTTACAGTACTTCCATTAGGATCCTTTAGTGGCATCTACCTTGTATGAATTCTCTTTTGTACAAGCTACATGATAGGCCTGCTCTTAGATACTTTATGACTGTAAACTTCTCATCAACATTTAAATGTATAATAAGCATGACGTTTACCCTCTACATCTTTTTTCCCTCATTAGATAGTAATTCTTCAAGGCAGAGGCCCCCATACCTCTTACTGTTATATTGTATTTATAATGTGCAGGGCCCTCATACCTCTTACTATAATATAGTAATCTGTAATAAGCAGGACCCTTATACCTCTTACTGTTTTGTTGTAATATGTAATGGGCATGGCCCTCATACTTCTTACTGTTACATTGTAATCTGTATTGTGCAGGACCCTCATACCTCCTGTTACATTAGAACCTCCATACATCCTACTACATTGTAACCTCTAGTAGGCAGGTCCCTCATATATCATGTTACATTGTAATCTATAATGGCCATGGTCAATGTCATCCCTCATTTTAGGAAGGCAGTCCTCCTATTTCTCTCAGTGGAAGTTGCGGTGTATGCATGTTGATTACAGAGTGCTACACATTAGGATGGAGCCAAGTAAAAGTGAACTTGTAGCCTCATGTGCCGCTTTCCATTTCTTCCAGCACTCTTCCAGAAAAGAGCAACACTGTGGAGGATAAAGAGACCGGAGTGAAGAGGGACAAGCCTGTCGTGCGCCCAGAAGAAATTCCACCTGTACCCGAAAATCGGTTTCTGCTGAGGAGAGATGCGCCCATTGCCAAAGCAGTGCCTGAACCGTAAGTAGCGCTCCTTTTAGTTCTAGGAACAGATCACTCTCTGTAAGCGAAATACCTTTGCACCAGTCCCGACAGCCCATTAGAAATTACTAATATAATGGGTTACCTTTGCTGACCTCCAGTCCAACGGGTGCCAGGCTCCCTGCTACATTACTGCTGGAAGGGACAGTTGAAGACATGGTAAACTGTGATGCCTCAGGCCTGTTTATGTATGTAATATATATATATATATATATACATACATACATACATACATACATACATACATACATACATACATGTGTGTGTTGGATATGCAAACTTTGAGCCCAATGATTTTCTATTGTTTTTCTCTTCTAGGAAGCCGTCTCCCGCACTACCTGACAACAACTCCGTCACTAAATCTGGAAGGAAAATCAAAGGCCGGGGCACCATAGTACGTGTCATGTGATTGCTGCATATGATTCCTATTCTGAAGGGAATATACTAGGCCAGATTACTGCTACTTACACAATAGCGCGCTATGCAACCTACTCACTGCTGAGAAAGTTCAAGCACAGTAAGTATTGGACAGTTAGGAACGCGGATGACCGATCTAAAAGTCTTGAACTTTCCATTGGAAGGACACTCCCCAAGTAGAAATGGAGTTTCCTGAACGAAAAACTGTTAGAATTCCATTCATTCTTTGACATACATGATCCCTTTTTATTGATTTTAATGGAAAACCCATCAGGGGGACAGGTGTGAATCCTTCTGTCGTTGGTCTCCTCTGGCTTTTCTTGCCTCATCTTCTGCAACTGCAGAGCCAGCAAAAGATTAAAACCAAAACAAGTGTGACAGATCATTTCCTCTGTAGATTAAAGGTCAAACTGGCTCCCCGACAATATTTATGCGTATCTCTAAACTGATGACCTGTGGGGGCTTTTAAAGCGTCGTCTATGGACTTTTTAGGGTACTGAATTTTGTCACCGTGTCACAGACGCACGCAATTTTTAACCTGAGCATGTTGGGTATCTATTTACTCGTATCTTCATCTTTTATATTTTACCCCCCAAAAAATGGGTATTTTATTGTGTTTTGGGGCACTAAATTTAACTTGTGTGCATTTTTCACTAAATTGTTGGGTTTGATAATAAGTTGCGCTAATACCGTGCAACGTAAAAATTCGAAACTGCCACCCTTTTATTCTACAGGGTCTTGGCTTTCAGAAAATAAATGTTTGGGGGTTTAAGTAATATTCAGGCCTAAAATGTGGATTATAACATAGGTGCAAACAATTTAAGAAAAGGCCTCAGTCATTAAAGGGTTAAGTGAAGTGAAACGGGTAATTTCATCCCCAAAACAGTCGCAGTGTAATAGTGTCATGCAGAATTTGATGATTAGGTATAAGGCTGCTTCTACATCATAAAACTGCTTATTTTATCTGTCTTCGCTCATGTCAAGAAAATGTATTTAAAGTCTTTAAAGGAGAACTATGAGGATGAGTGAAAATCACTCACCTCATAGTTCTAGCCGACGTGTGACAATGAGAATGTCACACGTCGGCTCAATAGATCGGGGAGTGAGCGAACACATACCGTCGCTCGCTCACTTCTCGATCATCTCCCTGCAGAGAGCCATGACTGTCACTCACAGCTCCCTGCGGGGATTCCCCACCTCCCCTGTCCAATCCTCCAGCGCTGAGTAGAGCAACGGATGGAGTAGGGGGTGGGTACAGCTGTCTCTAGATAGGCAGAGCCAGCTGTCAATCAGCCAGCTGAGTGGATCTCGACAGTAATGTCGGGATCCGTCCCGGCTGCGGCAGTCTCAGTATACCGCAAGCTGTAGCCCGCTATATACTGAGCTTTGGGTAACGGGAGGACGCTAGTTTGTGTCCTCCTGTGACCCTTAAGAGAACTATGGGGAAAAACACTGACCCCATAGTACTCCTTTTTAAAGCTCAACTTCACCTTTTCTTTAAAAATTAAACTATTTCCCTGCATATGAGCAAGTCAGAAAGAGCCTGGCTGGCAGACATCCAGCATCATCTATAACTTTTCTTTCCAGCCGGACTATCCCTGGTCCACCACCTCAGCATCACATGTGGGCATTACCTAGTGCGGTCTGCATGCAAATTCCGCCTGCCTAGAAATGCCCCATTCTCCAGACTGACATCTGCCCATCAAGGCATTTTGTTATTTGCATAAGTCTTTCTAAGCGCCAGACCACTGCTTGCATCAGGGCTGAGGGCTCTTGAGAGCTGTATTGAAGTAGAGTGCTGTGATGTTTTCAGGAAGCTACGTACACCACCCTGTCGGCTCCTTGTAACAGCATTGAGAAGCACGGAGACCCAGTGTTAATGCGGAAACATTCTGTTTACATTCGTTTGCACAGTGCGCCGCTACATGCGAGCTGTAGAAGAATTGGAAGCCAAGGAGCTGATCATTCCTGGGCCTAGCCCTAGATGGCAACTGGTCAGACACAGATATCAGTGAAACTTAATCCTCCTGTCCCATCGCACTCCTGACCGGACAAAAACCCAAATCCAACTGGGTGGGTACGGTGGTGACAACGGATGCCTCCGTGAAATGTAGATGGATGATATTAGTCACGCGCACTCCATGATATTAAAGTCAATGCTGTTTATGGACTGAGGTAACACACATCTCCTTAGCGACGTTTCGAGACCATGCAGCCCCGTCCTCAGGCAAACAGCTTAGGACGGGGCCGCATGGTCTCGAAACGTCGCTAAGGAGATGTGTGTTATCTCATGGAGTGCGAGTGACTACTTTAATCTATCTACAGATATCAGTGAGTCGCCCAGCTCGCAGACTGGTACTGTGAAAAGCAAAGAATTTATCATACAATCTGAATTTCCCATTCAGGGCTCCCTACATTTTTCAACCTCCTTATTACAGGAACATTATTATAGAAATTCTCATTTGCGTTTCTTTCATTCCTTGCCTCTAGCGATACCACACGCCCCCGAGGTCCAGATCTCGATCGGAGTCAGATGATGACGGCCAAAGCAGCGAGACCCCTCCGCACTGGAAGGAGGAAATGCAGAGGTTGAAGACGTATAAACCCTCTTCAGGAGAAAAATGGAGCAAGGGAGACAAGTAAGAGTCTTGGGTGCCGAAACATGATAGATTTTAAGAGAACCCGTCCGCCATTTAAACCCTCCAAATTGTCCTTTGTCCTCCATCGCTTGTCCTATATTAAATTGAATGATATCAATGTCCTTCAATTCCACACCTCCTGTGAGCAAAGGGTGTCATAGACCCAACACCCTGGCGCCTCATCATGTTGGCCTGGGCTCACAGTCCTGCTGCAGCGAATGGCATTCACACTTTACTACATGAAGGCTGTTCTGTGCAATAGTAAGGACCAGTTATGAAAGAGGGAGATAAGAGGTACAGTGACCAAAGAGAAGGCACCTGGAAAATCTGTTTACATAAAATAAAAATAAGTGCGGGAATGTAGGGGTAGACTGGAGTTGGGCTTTAAATAAGCCCCGCCTCTTGTATATGCAGCTGTGAGAAGGTTAAAGGAGAACTATGAGGTGAGTGAAAATCACTCCTCCTCAGAGCTAGAGCCGACCTGTGACAATGAAACTGTCACGCGTCGGCTCAATAGATCGGGTAGTGAGAGAACACATACCGTCGCTCGCTCACTTCTCGATCCTGTCCCTGCAGACTGCCGTGACTGTCACTCACGGCTCCCTGCAAGGATTCCCCCTGTCCGATCCTCTAGCGCTGACTGGGAAAGGGGCGGGTACAGCTGGCTCTGCCTCTAGATAGGTAGAGCCAGCTGTCAGTCACCCAGCTTGGTGGATCTCGACAGTAATGTCGGGATCCAACCTGACTCCGGCGGTCTCCGTATACTGAGCTTAGGGTGACGGGAGGACGCTAGTTTGTGTCCTCCCGTAACCCTTAGGAGAACTATGGGGAAAAACACTGACCCCATAGTTCTCCTTTTAAGTTGTGGGAGAATTTGGTGTTATAGTGATTTTCTGACATATTGGATTACAGCTGTGCCTCCTGCACCTCCACCTCATTGATAGCAATTCTTGAGTAGCCACAAAACAGCATAAAAACTCACTGGACCTGAGTAGACTGGTAACATTCCCTAAAAAAGAAAAAGTGAGATCTTCACTGGAAGAACCAAATTCAGCATTTACATGCCCCATCCTCCATCTTCACACCATTATATTTTCTAGAGGTGCACCCAAATGAAAATTTTAAAAACTAAACCAAAATTTAGAAAAATGTCAGACCAAAAAAAAAAATTCTAAATTAAAAAAAAAAAATTCAAATATTTTATTTGTATTAATTTTTTATAAACTTTAAAAAAAAAAAACAATTATTTTTTATTAAATATTTTAATTTTTTACTTTACTTTTAGGGGCTTCGGGGAAATATTGGGGGTCTAAACAGACTCCTGATATTTCCCTTTTTAAAATGGAAAAAGAGATTGAGAACACAGAGTCCTCAATCTCTTTTTCTGTATCTCCTGTTATCAATGAAGAGGAATCCTTTACAAGGGTACAAGGAGTCAGGGATCAGTGATCGCTTAGTGTTTGTAGATAATTTAGGACAGAGTATGTTTACTATAACCACAATCATGAATGGACAGGAGGTGATGTAGATCACTTCCCATTCATTCATAATTGAGGATATAGTAAACATACTCTGTCCTCAATTATCTACAAACACTCAGCGATCACTGATCCCTGACTCCTTGTACCCGCTCTCCATCCTGACAGCTGTCACCGGAGGCTGAGCAAGCGGTGCGGGGAGGAAAGCTTGATCTGACAGCTGGCTTCTCCCCCCACACCGCCGGCAGGCCTCCTGTGACAGCGCTGGCCGTCTCCGCCCACACTGCCGCTCGCCTAATCTGTGACAGGAAGCTGAGCGGTGCTGGAAGGAGAGACACCGGCCACTCCCAGCGCTCTTGTCACGCAGCGCTTGGCCGAAGGCCGATATATCAGTGCATCCCTAGTATTTTCTACTTATTTAAGTTGTGTTTGGAGTAGAATGTGCTAAAGTCATTGCTACATTTTCATTGTATCCTCAAACCAAGGCATACCGTGACTTTTGTTTCTGTTTCCAGACTTAGTGATCGTATGTCAAGCCGCTGGGATGGAAGCTTGTCTCCAAGGTCAAGTTCTTGGTCACACGATGGTTATCGCTCCGATGCCAGCAGGGGGCACGTTTCCCGTTCTAAAACACGTAAGAAGGATAAAAAACTTAAGCATAAAAAGAAAGCCAAAAAGGCAAAGCATACAAAGAAACGTAAGCCACCAAAGAAAGATCAGCCATCATCATCATCTCACAAAGAAGAGTCTTCCAGCAAGAAGAGGAAATCATCGCAGGAACGAACTCGAAGGTCAACTTCAAGGTCTTCCAGAGAGTCTTCAAAGAAGGGCTGGTCTCGGTCAGACAAAGATCAGAGGTCTTCATGTCATTCCAGCAAGAACTCTTACGCAAATTCCAGATCCAGATCGCGGTCTTATTCCAGAGGAAGTGAAAGGTCCAGAACAACCTCGGGATCCACCTCTCGATCCCGAAGTCGCTCGAAAAGCAGGTCTAGGACTAAGTCAAGGTCCAGAAACCGAAATGCTTCTGGAGCCCACTCGAGCGCTCACTCTCATCACTCATCCAAACAGGTGAAATCTTCTCCATCCTCCCAAAAAAAGGATGCGCCTCCATCAAGAAGTAAACCAAATACGACTACTGAGCCCGGAAAAGCCGCAGTGCAGAAAACAGCTAAGTCAGCTGACGATTCTGTTTTGGCTTATGTAAGTGAGAACGTGATTTCCTTAAGTGACAGTCCCCCACCTTCCAGGTGGAAACCTGGGCAGAAGCCTTGGAAGCCTTCATATGAGCGAATACAGGAAATCAAACCCAAGACCACCAATGCGCTTCCTGCACCAGCCAGGCATAGTGGCGGTGATGCCAAAGACAGTTCATTTCGCAATCATCGTGCGAGCTCAGATAGCGAGCGCAGCGATTATTCTAGAAGAAGCTCAAGTTCTCGCCGCAGAACCAAACATCACTCTTCTAGGAGCAGATCCTACAGCAGATCCTATTCTAGATCCAGGAGCCGAAGTAGCTCATCTTCTCAGGCTGGAGGCAGGGCATCTTCTTCATACGACAGCTCATCATCCAGTGACTCCAATGATGGCACAGTTCCTACTGACACATGCTCAGCCAAAAGAAGAGGCGAATCAAAGGATAGAACCGTCCAGCCTAATACTAAAGGTACGTCTATTACACGGAAAAGCACTGGAAGCGTCTCGAATTCCCACTCCTCAGAAAGTGAAGGAGATGAGTTTACCAAGTCATTACTGCAAACCACTAAGGCTTTGCTGGAAAACCATAACTCCTGCAGCCCACAGCAATCGGAAGATAATAAAAGTGAATCCAAGCCCGATTCCCAAAGTGACAAAGATGGCACGCAGGCCGTAATATCCGACATAGACAAAGTTCTGAAAAGTGAGAAGTTAAAGGAAAGCGTTGAGCAAGTCATAAATGAGGAGAAATCCAGCTCCCAAAATGCAAACCTCGAGGACTCCGCGATGTCTTCCGGAAAAGAGGAAGGTGAAGCCAGTTCGGAATCTGACTCCGAGGTGATTGGGAACTCTAAGACTCCTCCTTCAGGGACTCAGTCGCCCTGCGCTTCCGAAAGCATTTCTGAGAAACTTACCAAGTCTCCCCTGTCGAATAGTTCAGCTCAGGAGACCAGCAAAAGCAAATCGAAGAAACACAAGCGCCGTTCCAGCAAGAAGAAGAGCCATTTGAGGAGGGCCAAAGAAAAATCCAAAAAGAAGAAAGAGAAGAAGCAGAAAGCGCAAAAGAAAAAGCAAACCTTCCGCTGGCAGCCCCCGCTGGAGTTTGGAGAAGAAGATGAGGAGGAGACTGCAGAGGCGGAGTCCAATGTACGTCTGAGCAACCCAAAAGACCTGCTTCTGGACAAGTCTAAGGTAGAGTCCAAAATCACCCCCAACGGGTCCCTGCTGATTGATAAAGTTAACACAGAGCCCAGGAAAAAGGTTTTGCCATTAACGCCCGCCTTAAAAAGGGATGAAAAGAACCGTGGAGCTTTACCAAACCTAACAAAAGGTCAGCTTACCGCTGCAAATGCTCCTCAGAGGTCAGATGACATAAAAACTTTTACTTCCCATCGGTCATTACCGCTGATCAAACTTGAGACGAATTCCTCCAGCAGTACGCCCGCAGCTCGCACAGGTGGCACCTCGGACCAGGCACCCCCTTTGTCAACGTCTGTCCCTTCTGTTTCTGAAAATGTGCAAGTCAAGGAAGAGAAAAGTCAAAGTACTCCGGCAGTAGTCAACACAGCCGGTCCAGAGAAGCCAGAGGCTGCTGGCGCCGAGTCCGTAGCGGTAGACAATAAGTGGAAACCCGTCCAAGGGCCAACTTTTGGCCAACCAGTCAAGCCCATAACTACACCTGTAATTACTCCGTCAGAGGCGGAAAAGAAACCTCAAGGCTTAAGAATTGAGATCAAAAGCAAGAATAAAGTGAAGCCAGGGTCACTTTTCGATGAAGTCAGGAAAACCGCCAGATTAAACCAAAGGCCCAGAAACCAGGAAAGTTCCAGCGAAGAAAGGTCTTCGAGTCAAGAGGCAAAAAGCCGCTCAGGTAGCAAGACCAGGTCCAGAAGCAAATCCCGCTCTGCGTCAAGCCACAGGTCAAGGTCTCAGTCTTCCAGCAGGTCCAGAAGCCGATCCCATAGTGGCAGTTCTTCATCAAGGTAAGAAGTACATGATTTTGGGCAATCCATTTTACACACTGACAGAAAATAAGGCCTCGGGCACAGAGCCTCATTTTGTCTTCATTTTTGGAAACTATTTCATTCTGTAGCTCAATTATTAAAGCCTAAACCTGTCTAAACAATTTTTTGGGGGGGGGGCTTTGAGTAGGGAAGGGGAAAAAACGCCGTCAGGCTTTTATTGTCTGTGTCTCCATTGGGGAGATTTCACCTTAATCACTTGGAGATCAGACTCTTAAACCCCCTTCCTGTCCAGGCAATTTTTCAGTATTTATAGCTGAGCTACTTTGCCTTGGTCTGCAGCAATGATTAAGTAGGTGGTAGGAATTAGGGATGCACCGATACTAATACTAGTATCGGTATCAGTGCCGATACTGAGTATTTTGGCGAGTACCGATGCTGGAACTTCCGGTATTAGGAAGCCGGGCGGCGAATCATTACACGCTGTCTGGCTTCCAGATTGGGCGGGAAGCCGGCTCCATGTTCCCTCGTCACCAGGGAGTATGGAGCCAGCAGCTTCCCGGCCAATCAGGAATCCGGGGGGGGTGCAGCTAATGACTCGAACCCCCCCGGCTTCCTGAGTGTCCGGGAAGCCGGCTCTATGCTCCCTCTTCACTTGGTGATGAGGGAGGATGGAGCCAGCTTCCCAGCCAATCTGGAAGGCGGGCACCGTGTAATGACTCGCCGCCCGGCTTCCTGATTAGCGTGTAATGCCTTGCCGCCCGGCTTCCTGATTTGTCGGGAAGCTGGCCAATCGGGAAGCCGGGCGGCGAGTCATTGCACGCCATCCACCCAGCTTCTCGGCTAATCAGGAAGCCAGGCGGGTGAGTCATTGCACACCGCCCGGCTTCCTTAATATCAGCGAGTACCGGATAAAGAAATATCGGTACTCAATACCGAAAAAACAGTATCGGTGCATCCCTAGAAGGAATACATTGAAATTTCATCCGAAAATGGTACGAAGGCCAAAATGGCGATAGTCCCAGAAACAGCCGAAAGTGCAGTGCATTCCTAGCTTCTCTCCTCCCCTCGGGGCGCCAGTCTGTGTCCTCTCTGATCCCCGCTGCTTTCCCTCACCTGTGTCAGCAGAGGCAGCGGGGATCGAAGGGAACACAGAGCATATCCATGTGCTGGCACCCTGCAGGAAGGAGAGAAGCTGTCAGGTGGCTTGAGCGGCACAGGAAGGAGAGACTTGTCAGGATGCCGAGAGGTGCGGGGAGGAGAGACTTGTCAGGATGCCGAGAGGTGCGGGGAGGAGAGACTTGTCAGGATGCCGAGAGGTGCGGGGAGGAGAGACTTGTCAGGATGCCGAGAGGTGCGGGGAGGAGAGACTTGTCAGGATGCCGAGAGGTGCGGGGAGGAGAGACTTGTCAGGATGCCGAGAGATGCGGGAGGAGAGCTCAGCTCCTGTGACAGGCGGTGCAGTCAGGATGGAGAGCGGTGCACAAACACAGAGTAATCTACTGATCGCTGAGGGTTTGTAAAGGACTGAAGACACAGTAAGCTTTCTCAGATATAAATGAACAGGAAGTGTTATACATCATGCCCATTCATGACTGGGTTGATAGTAAATATTTACTATCTCCAGCTTGTGAATGAACGGGAAGCCTCTGTACTGAGAGCTTCCTGTTCATTGAGTGCTGGAGCTGCAGAAACGATGTTGTGTCCTCAATCTTTTATTCTATTTTAAAAGGGAAATATCAGGGGGCTGTTTAGATGATCCATTCATTTAATTTCAACTCTCAGTGGTCATAATCTTATGGCTGATGGATGTATACTCAAAAGAGTATAATCTGAGATCCCTTATCTATGACCCAGAGGTGTCCTCCCCGAAACGCGTTACTTTGGTCTGACAAAGGCAGTGTGGGGAACTGTACCTCCTCTCGGCTGCATTCTGTACAGCATGAGAGTGGGTCCTGTAGTCTCAGTCCCAGTGTCCCCGGCATGTTTCCAGGCTGGGAACGGAGGACGCCTCTGGGCCACAGATAAGCGATCTCAGAATATACTCTCGGGAGTGTATTTTTATCACTGTCTTTTATGTTTGTTAAAGGGTAAGTTCACCTTCTATATAAAAAGATCAAAACTCATAACCCCCTCCTCATCCTCGTTGCACTCAGCTGCAGGGATGACCATTGCCTGCTGCCACTTGAAAACTTAACTTCACAGCCCCGGAGGTTGTGCTGGCAAAGGTGAGTGCTCATTGGTCAGCGTGCTCATGTGACCACACTGACCAGTGAGAAGCTCCTCTTTTTTTCCAGGACGCCATTCTAGAATAAAGAAGGCTCAGAAAAGATTTTAATTGGCCACCACATTCAAGTCTTTTGCAAAAAAGGTGAATTACCAGGTGCAGTAAGTTGCTGCACTATGTTGGGTGCTCTCTGTCGTTTTCATTTTAGAGAGCTGCAAGTGACGATTATGGCCCTAAGTGGACTCGATCACCTTTGCACATTTGACTGTCAGTCCTTATCCAGGGTTAGAATTTATGAATATGGACTTGTCATATGTCGTCACGGCTAATGTGTCCAATTGCAGGTCACGGAGCTATTCGAGGAGTCGGAGCAGAGAACGGTACAGCCGCCGCCGTTCCAGGACTCGCAGCAGATCTTACGGCAGCTATAGAAGGTATGGGGTCTCCGTTGGTGTACGTCGTCACATTTAACCCCTTCATGACTGAGCTAGTTTTCCGTTTCTGTTCATAAATGACTGACACACTTTTTACATGTTTGCTGTGTGATTCTTCCACGGCAGTAATATACTTTCTTACTAAATGTACCCACACATATTATATATTGTTTTTTAGAGGACAGTTAATTATAGTATACAAATATATTTATATATAATTTTTATTTTACTAATTTTTTTTTACACTTTGTAAGAAAAAAAACACTTTTTTTTTCTTGTCAGTTTATATCAAGCAGTCACTATGACTGCTTGATAAATAACTTTTTTTTAATTTTTGGCTATTAAGTGGCTGCTTCAAACTTAGGAACAGCTAATAATAACCTTAGAGACTGATCCTGACTCTAGTCAGATCTCACTAAAAGCTCTTTGATCCGATCAGAACTGATACATTTCACTCAAAAGATATACATTGTATCTTTTGAGTTAAATGTATCTAAACATTGGGCTCTCGAGCTGTCAAAACAAATAGCAGAGAGGTGAGTCACTGCTACCTCTCTGCTATTTTCAGCTGTCAAATACAGGATCGCAAATTGCGGTCCTGTATTTGCATGTAACGGCTTAATTATTTCATCAATGAATGCCTCAATACTGACCCATCCATTAATGACTGGTAACTGCTGAGAATCAGCTGTTACCAACATTACAACGCCTGATATAACTCGTCAGGTACAGTGTACGCTGCCAGTCATATAGGCACAAAGTGCCGGGACGTACAGTGTACGTCTCCCGTCACGAAGGGGTTAAAGGGGCAGGCTGCCCAAATGTGGTATTTGTTTTGAGTGAAGATTGGTGGGTCAATGATATCTATTGGCTCGTTAAAGAAGAATTCGGGAGGGGCGGGGGGACTTTTTATTAACCCAGAATGTGTACAAACCATCAAGGCAGGGGTGGGCAACCTTGGCACTCCAACTGCTGTGAAACTGCGAGTCCCATGAGGCATTGCAAGACTCGGACAGCCACAGGCATGACTCGCAGAGGCATGGTGGGATTGGTTGTTGTAACACAGATAGAGCGCTGAAGCTGCTTACCCCTGCATTAGGGTAAAGTAAGCTGGAAATGACCCGCTCCTCACCTGGGCTGATCGTGACGGTATTTTGCTCTCTTTACAGTCGGACGTACAGCAGAAGTCGATCTAGAAGCGTCTCTTACCGTCGTCGCAGAAGATCCAGGTATAGTGTCTCCTCTCTCTCTCTGTTTTGCAGATTCCGGGCACTATGTGTTTACAGTAATACCTTGGTTTACAAGTAACTTGGTTTGAGAGCGTTTTGCAAGACAAGCAAACATTTCTGAAAAATGTTGCCTTGATATACAAGCAATGTCTTGCAAGAAGAGCAAAATTCTGCAGAAAAGCGCCACCGAATAAGGCTGTAGCAGTGCGAGCGATGAGTCTGTTTAACGATAACACAATGTCACATTGGATAGATTCCTTGTTATGGTTTCATGAAATGAGAAAGATTCCATTGAGTCAAGAGATAACAGTGATTCCGTTAGTGATAGTGAAAGTCGTCCTACACAATAATCTTCCTCTCTCTCGTCCCCCTCACACCAGCCACGAAGGTACCTGTAATTGGTTTATTTTCTTTATATTTTGTACAGGTTTATATTACAGTACTGTATTGTAATCATTTTTATATGAATATTTTTGGGTTGTGGAACAAATCATCTTAATTTCCATTATTTCCTATTGGGAAATTCGCTTTGATATACAAGCGCTTTGGATTACAAGCATACTTCTGGAACGAATTATGCTCGTAAACCAAGGTATCACTGTATATCACAACCTTGAAGAGTATCTGTGTAGATACCGCGGCTATTATAGAAGAGCCAATCCCAATCACTAAAGTCTCATGTAATATTTAAAGCTGGACTCCGTCCTTCCCTTCAGTCTTCTCTCTAACCTCCGTCCTCCCCTTCAGTCTTCTATCTGACCTCCATCCTTCCCTTCAGTCTTCTCTCTGACCTCTGTCATTCCCTTCAGTCTTCTCTCTGACCTCCGTCCTTCCCTTCAGTCTTGCACAGTTGTACTGGCTCCTCTCCTGGACTGAAATGGCTTCCTCTGTTATCACTGCACACTGCAAGCTTCTCATACTGTGCAATATAATCTGCAGCAAGCCAGGGCTTGCCTTGTTTTCCGGCATCATCTAGCACTTTCCTCTTCAGCCTGTCTGTCCTTGGTCTGTATCTTTTCATTCATTGGGTTTCGGTTCTTTCAATCATGGAGGTTCAGCATCACATGTGGGCGTTACCTATGCAAATACAGCCTGCTTAGGAACGCCCACTCCTCCAGACTGACATCCACCCATCAGGGCATTTTGATATTTGCATAACTCCTCCCAAGAGCCAGCCCACTGCTGTGATCAGAGCTGAGAATTCTTGAGGAGTACTGAGGCCACCCCCCTCCTATCAGCATGCATTGCACAGAGAAGCACATGGACCCGGTGATGAAATCACTGGATCTAAAATAAGATATGTAATGAAAACAGGTTTTATTAAAATATGTCATTGGCATGCTGATTCCAGGAGGAACCTGGAAATGCAAAATAAAAGGAAATTAAACATCAGCTTGAACATATTAATGTAATTTCAGAAATTCTATTGAATCTTCTAAAAGTTACAGTTTTTATTGGAAGAAGACTATGTGATTCTACTAATGAAGGTCTTTGTTTTTAGGCACTTCCTGTTTTGGGAGACAATGTTCTGTCCCTTCAGTTGCTGTTCTGTGTTGTCACCCTGTCACATGCACCTCCGATGGAGACTATAAGCTGCTAAGTCTAAGCTCATTGCGGCGGACTCATTCTTCCGCGGGCTCCATTGGCAAACCCGCCTGACAACACGGGAGAGCAATTGGAAATAGGGGACAGCGCATCAGAGAAGCAGAGACCTCTAATGACAGAGCGGACCTTTTAGGTGATTAATTTGGTCATTACAATCGGATTGTACAATCTTTATGTTCACAGACAGCTTTGTAGTGCGAGGCGTCATTCAGAGACGGGCACATCTACAGAGATTTGTACAGTCGTAGTGTAATGAGTGCGGATGGCATCAGGCGTGCTTCAATGTTCTTTACATTCAGAAGTCTTTGGCTTTTGTTCTGTGTCTTCCTACAGAAGTCGGTCACACACGTACGACAGCTATAGCAGAAGTAGAAGTCAAAGCAGAAGTCCAGCCTACCACCGATCACGCAGCTATGACCGGAGGTCTAGGTAGGTAACCAGGACCACGGAGTCTTAATAGAATATGTTAGGGATCCGCCGAAACAGATCGGCCGCAAAATGCCGTAAGTACTATCTTTCGGGCGAAATTGCACTGCGTCCATAGTTTCTCCTTCACACTGGACGCTGCCATCTGTTCCCTCTTACACAGCGCAGCATCCAGCAGGGAGGAGAGAAACTGTCAGGAGGCCGAGCGGGGCGAGGAGGTGAGCGCCATCATTGGCTTGTCACAGGAGGCTGAGCTCTCACCGCCCCGCTCAGCCTCCTGTGACCGATTAGGGTGGAGGGAGGAGACAGCTGTGAGCTGTCACATGAGGCCGAGCCAGAGGTGTAGGGGAGGAGTCGGCTGTCAAAATGGACCGATCTCTCCTCCCCGCACTGCCGGCTCACTCTCCTCCCCGCACTGCCGGCTCACTCTCCTCTGGCAGCCGATCCAGGATGGAGAGCGGTACAAGCAGTCAGTGATCGCTGAATGTTTGTAAACAACTGGATATCGTATGAGTTACTAAGTCCCAGTTATGAATGAATAGGAAGTAATCTACATCACTTCCTGTTCATTCATGATAGTGGTTATAGTAAACATACTCTGTCCTCATGTTATGTTTTTAAGAAAGGTTAGAAAAAATATATATTTTTGGTTTCGGCCTGACATTTTTTAATCTTTTTGGTTTCAAAATGTCATTTCGGTGCACCTCTAGAATATACGGAATTTTTTGATTTGAAAGATTGTTACAAAAAGCCTTGTGGTACCATAAAAATCAGAACGCGGACCCACAGAAACAGAAGAAAAGCTGTCCGCCCACCAGATTCCCCAGAACTTCAATAGTTTTGTGAAGATTGTACCACGTCACTGGTGTGTCCCGCTGAAGGTCCACCACTCCCTCACCCCCCCGCTCACGCGTTTCACCCAATCACGGGCTTAGTCGTAGAGATCATCTCTACTTCTTCTGTTTGCATGAGCTCATATTGGGCCAAGGACGTGCTCGCAGTGGCAAGTACCCGGCTCATTAATTTCCTGAGCCGTGGAGGAGCGGTGCTTCTTTTGTGTGTTTTCCTTGTATTCAGAACATGGAGACATTGAGTGGAAGAGAAGGTGGGGGGGGGGGGGGAGAGAGAGTCCAAAAGGTCTTTTGCCAGGTTCATAGGCAGGTCAGTCGTTACTTTCCTGCGTGTGGAAACGCACTGAGTATTACATATCATGTTAATCAAGGGAGAGAACATTCGTTGGGTGAGCCCCCCATAGCTAAGAAGTGGAGACCTTATGGAACCCAAAGAAGTGGCTGGGGGCGATTATTTCAAGGTAATGTATGGTTGGGTGGGGGTTCGGTATGGCATTGGTTGGTAGGTGGAGATGAGATGGGAGCCTAGGGTGGTAGGTGGGTGTGGGTTGGGGCAGGTAAGTGCCGAAATTGAGGCCGCTCCCATTTGGATTCCTGCATCAGGCTGTACCACACTGGACGTCCCGAGTGCCTGAAAAGTAAGAGCCGCCTATGGATGGGGGTCATTTATTTTTAGGGGTGGACACCAGATGTCCATCAAATGGGTGGGTATCTGTGCATTTAAACATATGCCACCTGTTCCAGGTCATTAGATTTCGGGACATATTGTCCTCATTTATGTGAATCAGATCTTCCATCTCAGCTGCAGCATGAATACAGGCAAACCATTCCCTTATGTTTTGGGGTGATTTCCGTTGTCTCCGGATTAATGATTTTGTGGCATAAGAAACGTTTGTAGCGTTTAACAGAGGGGTCGGGTGATGGAGGAGAAATCTTGATGGATGGCGGCATTAGCGCAGTCAGGTATCCCAGGGATGGGGTTATGTACTTGTAGCCAAAATGGGTTTTATAGCATTTGATTCTCCCTCAATTAAACATAAGGAGGCTCCCTCTAGTGGAGACGAAGGCCCACTGCAACTCCCCAGCTGTTGGGGAGCTACAACTCTTGCCAGTATTTGCACAGCTGAAGAGGAGAAAACACAGGTCTTGGGCAATGGCGCTGCACTCTTAAAATCCCCCTTCACGCTTTTTTTTTTTTTTTGTTACATTGGATCACCTTCCTTTCCTCCGTTTGTGTTCATAGAGGCTGCTGGAATCACCTTAATCTGGTTGCAACCATTGGCTTAGCACCATGAAGCACACAGTCTCAGGAGACAAGTATGTCCAGTAGTTCCAGTAAAAAAAAACAAAATTCGTTTGTTGGAAAATAATTTAAAGGACGGCAAAAACGCAAAATCGGAACTCCAGGCAGTTCCAAAATCATGAAATCCTACTCCCGTTTTAGATGATAAAGGAGTAAGTGTTCCTCTAGAGCAGTGGTTCTCATATTTACAAAAGTATTAAGAGTTTGGAGAAGTGAACAATCTAGGCCAAAATAGCTGATTTGGCCTATGGATGGGGTCATTTATTCCCCCGAGGAGATATCAGCACGGTGCCCCAAATCTACAATGTACTTGTGCACAGAATGGGGCTGATGTCACCACGTCAGCACCACTCTGCATCAGTAAGGACCGGAGAGGAGGCAGTGATGAAGAGGACCCCTGCGGCATCACCTGACCAGCCTAAAGATTCAGAAAAGGGAAGCATTAAAAAAAAAAACTAAAATACATCCAGCTCCCGACGGCCCTTAAGGAGATCGTAACTCCGGAGGGGATACATGGGCTCCCTGATTATGTGACCACTGTAATTGGGCCGTCTTATCGCCTCCCAACTGTCACTGTGTGCACCCCTGCACAAAACATTGATACCTGTGGCAGCATGGCATAAAGCCCACCGCCATTCTTCCAGATATACATGCGTACGTGTTAGGAAGTTAAACACCTTAACCCCTTCATGACTGAGCTATTTTTCAGTTCCTGACACACTTTTTAAATTTTTTGCTGTGTGATTCTTCCACGGCAGTAATATACTTTCTTACTAAATGTACCCACACATATTATATATTGTTTTTTAGAGGACAGATAGGGCTACATATTTATATCAAACAAGTACCTAACGCCTCACTTAGTTTGAATCAAATATAAAAAATGAGGGGGAAAAACCAGAAGAAAACACTTTTTTCACGTTTCATGTTTTTATTTTTTTTTTATTTTTTTGATAATAATTATAGTATAAAAATATATTTATATATCATTTTTATTTTCCTAATTTTGTTTTACACTTTATTTTTTTATACTTTGTAAAAAAAAACAAAAACTTTTTTTGTTAGTTTATATCAAGCAGTCATTATGACTGCTTGATAAATTAACTTTTTTTTTTAATTTTTGGCTATTATTAGGCTGCTCCAAACTTAGGAACAGCTAATAATAACCTTAGAGACTGATCCTGACAGCATGTCAGATTCAGATCTCACTAAGGCCCGGTTCACACCTGGTCTTTGTAGCGCGTTCCTACGCTCTGCAAAACGCTCAAACACCGAAATCCCATAATTTCCTATGGGTATGGTTCACACCTGGGCGTATTACAGGCCGTATGAACGCGCTACAAAACGCCCTACGCCCAAAGAAGTACAGGAGCTTCTTTGGGGCGTTTTTGTTGCGCGTTTCCATTGGGATACAGCCAGGTAGCCCTCGGAAACGCGCGTTTGTCGCACGTTTTTTTTTTTACAGCGACTCACACGACAAATGCGCATATTCAATACGCCTAGGTGTGAACCCAGCCTAAAGCTCTTTTATGGTGCCTAGACGATCAGAAATGATACATTTCAAGCAAAGAGATACATTGTATGTCTTGTATCTCTTTGCTTGAGATGTATCACATAGCTTCATAAACATGGGGCCAGTCTATGGAGCTGTCAAAACAAATAGCAGGGAGGTGGAGTCACTCTGCTGCCTCTCTGCTATTTTCAGCTGTCAAATACCGGAGCGCTATTTAGTGCTCCCGTATTTGCATGTAACGGCTTCATTCTTTCATTAATGAAAGGAAGAAGCTTTTACAAAAGCTTAGCTATCTCATCAATGAATGCCTCAATACTGACCCATCCGTTAATGACTGGTAACCGCTGAGAATCAGCAGTTACCGGCATTACAGAGCCTGATATAACTCGTCAGGTACAGTGTACGCTGCCAGTCATATAGGCACAAAGTGCCGGGACGTACAGTGTACGTCTCCCGTCAGGAAGGGGTTAAAGGTTCTCTTTTAGTTCTCTGCTTCTCCAGTCCCCTCATCCTGATTTTCTTCTTTTTTTTTTGTCTTTTACAGGAGCCGGCAGTCATCATACAGCGGCAGCGATCACAGTTACCGCCGACGCCACAGCGGTAGAAGTTAACAGTGTTTGTCCTCCTCTCTCTATCAAGCTGGACACGCATCATGTAGATCCCACCATTCATGTAACATCCTTCCTGTTCATTGGGCACATGGAGCTGTTTACTATGACGAGGACAGATTGACGCGGCATGGCGTGGATGAGATAGAAAAGTCATTATCGGTTTGTCCTGTATGAGAGTTTACAGATCTTCTGGGC